TCCTAACAATCGTGAATATTCATGTTACTCTAGTTCGTATAAAACTCACTCACGAATTGATTATTTTTTAATATCTATAGAGTTACAACCTCAGGTGAAAAAATGCTGGTATAATAGCATTGTAATTAGTGATCATGCAGCAGTGTCAATGGAAGTCCGTTTGGGAAAGATTGGGTATTGTCCAAAAAGATGGAGACTACAATCATTTTTGTTGAAGGATCCAGACTTTAATTTATGGAAAACTCTATACACATGTATTTTGAATTAAATAGGGATGAAACTACAGCTAGTATCAGATGGGAAGCTTTCAAGGCTTACATAAGGGGAGAAATTATAAGCTACTCTAGTAACAAAAATAAACAGTACAGACAAGAAATACAGTCATTAGAAAAACAAATAAAAAAAATAGAGAGTGAATTCTATCATGATAAAGATCCTAAAAAATTACAAAGCCTAAATGCCATGAGAGCTAAATTTGATAAACTTGTGGACTAAACAAGCATATTATGATCAAGGAGAAAAAGCTGGTAAATTACTGGCCTGGCGACTCAAGAAAATACAGGCTGACAGAACTATTCATAGTATCAAGACAAAAAAAGGCAACTTAACAATTGACCCCACAGAGATAAATGATAACTTTAGAGAATTTTACAGGCTTCTCTACAAATCAGAATATAATGGAAATGAAGAAGCCCAGAACACTTTTCTTGACCAATTACAACTGCAGACATTACCAGAGGAGGATAAAACAATGCTGGATAGTCCACTAACAATAGAGGAACTTCTAGAGGCAATAGGTGACATGAATAGTGGTAAAGCACCTGGGCCAGATGGGTTGCCAATAGAATTTTATAAAGAATTTAAAAGTAAATTGGTTCAGCCCCTTCTAGACATGTATAATGAATCATATGAATTGGGAATGTTGCCAGACTCATTGAGAATAGCTACAGTAACTCTTATATTAAAACCTAACAAACCACCAACAGAATGCTCCTCCTACAGGGGAATAAGTCTCATGGAATGTGACACTAAGATATTATGTAAGGCTCTTGCCAAGAGACTAGACAAATATTTACCTAAATTAATAACTAATGATCAAAAAGGTTTTGTCAGAAATGGACAGGGGATATCACAATATCAGGCGGGTCCTGAATATACTATATGAAAAACATAACACTAAAGACACTGCAATGTTATCACTGGATGCACGCCAAGCATTTGATAGAATAGAATGGAACTATCTCCTAGAATTACTTCCAAGATATGGGTTGGGTGAGTCATTTCTCCAATGGATTCGACTACTATATACAAATCCTACAGCACAAATTCTAACTAATGACAATGTTTCAAAACCATTTAACCTACAGCGATCGACCAGACAGGGATGCCCTTTATCACCACTACTTTTTACATTAGCAATAGAACCTCTGGCTGTAGCGGCGAGAACACATGAAGGGATATCAGGCATAGAAATTGGAGGAAGAGAACACCTTATTTCTTTATTTGCAGATGACATTATATATTTTTTGACAGATTTAAACAAGAGCATCCAAAACCTGACAAGATTATTGGAAGACTTTGGAAAATTTTCTGGTTATGAAATTAATAATTCTAAATCTGTTTTAATGTTTCTTAATGAGGAAGAGAGGAAGAACCCCAGAGTAACAACACCTTTTGCTACAACTAGTGAAGGTTTCAAATATCTGGGCGTTAAAATTACTCCTGATCTCAATAAAATAATCTCATCAAACTACAACCCCTTGATAGATCAGGTCACTCAACTATTAAACCGATGGTCTGGTCTGCCTATATCTATGATGGGGCGAATTAATATTATAAAGATGTCAATTTTACCTAAATTTTTGTACCTTTTCCAAACACTTCCTCTACCATTACCAACACTGTTTTATGATCATTTAGCTAAGTTGTTTAATCAGTTTATCTGGGACAACAGGAAAGCGAGACTTCGCCTAAAACTGCTATATCAACCATATGAGAGAGGGGGACTCCAGCTTCCAAATCTTAGGTGGTACTATATGGCTGCCCAGTTAACATCAGCTACACATTATTTTAGTGCATCACCTCCATCCTGGGTAAGCATTGAAAGAGAATCCGTTCCATTGTCCTTACATAGCTATATATATTCCTCAGATGAAAAAAGACTTAACAAACAAACAAAAAATCCCTTCCTGAAAAACACAATTTTAGTGTGGCATGCTGCACACAAACAAATGGGGGACTTTCCAGTAATCTCGCAATTCACCCCAATCTGGGGTAATGAACAGTTCACTCCTGGTAAAAAAGATGGGGGGTTTAAATTATGGCATGCAAAAGGTATACAGAGAATGATAGATCTATATATGGATGGAGTGTTGCTAACCTTCAGACAATTGTGTGAAAAATATCAAATCCCTTCAAAGCACTTCTATAAATATCTGCAGTTAAAACATTTCATCTCATCCAGATAAAAACTGTTTACACACGTCCCACCATTATCAAAAATAGAAGAAGTCTCCCTTGGGCGTATGGGAAGGAAACACCTACTTTCTATCTATTATAACTTGCTTATATCTACTTCTAAAGAATCTGCAGTGGACAGGTTAAATGCCTGGAAAGATGACATACAAGAAGACATAACTGAAATTGATTGGAAGGCGGCCTGTTTAAAGGCACAAGTACAGACAATAAATACAAGTTCTAAACTCCTCCAATATAAATGGTTAATGAGAACATATATGACCCCTGTCAAACTTCATCATATGTCTGGCAACATTCCAGACACTTGTAGTAAATGTATAGATAACAAGGGAACCCTTTTTCATTGTTTGTGGGAATGTCCATTGATACAGAAGTTTTGGAAAGATGTTATAAATTCTCTGTCAGAGACCTTTCATCTTAACATACCACTGAATGCTAAGCTATGTATACTTGGGATCTATCCATTGAACTTTATAAAAATGCACAGAAAGACTAGATTGGTGGACTTTGGACTTCTACAAGCCAGGAGGGTGATTGCACTTAATTGGAAAAGTGTAGAGGCTCCTTTAATGAAACATTGGGTAAAGGAGCTTTCCAAGTGCCTTGGACTGGAAAGACTAACATATATTGCTAAGGGAAAACAGAAAGAGTTTCATAATCTCTGGGAACCATATATGAACATTATAGAGTCTGAGATATAATGTTGATAATGTTTATCTATCCTAAGTTGTTCTGTATTTTTTTTTTATTTTTTATTTTTTTAATGTTTTATTTATTTATTTTTCATTATATTTTAAAGTGGGATCCTTATTACAATGGAGTATTTGATTTCAAATGTATATATTTCTTAAGCTAAGTTGTATATAGGTGGAATTTGCAGGTGTAGCCTAGATCTGTGTGTGTGTGTGTGGGGGGGGGGTGTTATGTGTTAATGTTCTGTTTTGAATTGTTATGCAATGCAAAAAATCAATAAATATATTGGAAAAAAAAAAGATGTGCATCGGTGTTTATAGAGGTCCACATATCTGATGTTAAGCTAACTACTGAAGCCTTCAACACCAAGGCTTTGGCTTTCTCCTTGGATTCCTTATATTTGTCCTCCACCAAAGCCTAAAGGAAAGAAGAGAACATTCTTGGAATAGCAAATATGGGGGGAAAAAAATGAAAAAAATACATGTGTTCACTTCAAGATGAATGAAATGCAGAACTGTCTGATTGTAAATAAACCTTAACTTAATAAGTATTATCATGTAATAGCTTAATATAGGCAGCCAATTGTACAAAATGTATGTTTAGACACACAACATGGATATAAACTTTAAGAAGTTGAATAATATAAAAATGTATAACTATGTACAAATATTTAGTGTCTTTATTTTGAAAACCTCTTTCTCATTTCTTCCTGCCACTGTTGTTTAGTGACTGCCTGAAATTCGGGCAGTACAGCCTCCCCCTGAACTGACCATGTCCAGTCTCTGCTGTTCAGAACTGGCCACATTTTTTGCAGGTGTTTACCTCCACAGTCCTCCGGTATGGCCCCTTGGGTTTTGCACCAGCTGTCTCAGGAAAGACCTACTGGTCCAGAAGCCCTGGCTGTCCTGTGTGTGCAGTGAGCTGGGGGGGGGGGGGGCGATGGGTGCTGCTGGGACTGCTGTGGCTTTTGGCTGAGCAACAAACTGCTGTCTTTGTACAGTACCTTTAGGCCCA